AAGGTCGACTTAGCTCAGTTTCTACATGCACCGGTCCTGACATGTTCACATCCAAAGGCACCCTCATCACTATTGCCTCTCACCAGATCCTCCTCCCACCTACCACTGGGGAAACTGGGCTGGCAAAGGTCATTCCCTACTCCTCAGGACATCACTTCTGCACTGACTGCACACCTGAATTTTGGCCCACCGAGATGCTAAGGCACCCTCCAGATCTTCCAAGTTCCCAAGGTCATAGACTCTATTCCCTTCAGCAGCAGCTGTGAGCCAAGGCGTTTTCTGACCTGCCTTAATGATCATTTTATTCTTCAAAAGATGGAGGAACTTATATCCTGGGTCTGATTTACTCAAGAAGGAATGATGTCCTTGAGAGTAAGGGACCACTTTATACTAGAACTTGTAGGAAAGGACAGAAGAGCTGGGTATAGTCTGACATGCACATTAGATTTCATGGGGCAGCTAGCTGGGCTTGGAGTCAGGAAGACTCATCTTCCTGAGTTCAAATCCAGCCTCAGACACTCACTAGCTGTGTGACCCTGGGCAAGTCACTTCACCCTGTCTGCCTCGGTTTCCTCATCTGTCAAATGAGATGGAGAAAGAAATGGCAAACCCTCCAGTATCTCTGCCAAGAAAACCCCATTTGAAAGGAGAGTTTCTCTGGCTACCAATGTCCCTAAGTAGATACTCTGTGTGTCTGCTTGGGTCACATACATTGCCTGTTTCTTTCTTTAGATATGTACTCCTCCCAATGGCAATGTGATTCCCCAAGGTACAGCACCAATATGGAGGGGACCTATCACTTAATTGGCTGCAGGGTTTGATGTCTTTTGTTTCAGTCTGTGTCCCATCCTTTCTAGCTGGTTTAGTAAAAGTATACACACCTATAGAGTCTTAGAAGTTATGAGTTTGACTAAGTACTGAACACAGGGTGCTTTGAATCTGGGGTAGCTACAAATATAAAGTCACACACTCGGGTTCAAACAATCAATTTCACAAGCATGCAATGCGGGAGATGAGAATAGGCATCTGAAAAAAACACTGTGGGTCATCATGGCTTGCAAGTTCAATGTGAGTCAGCAATGCAATATGGCGGCGAGCTTAGGTTTCATAAATAACTCAGACACTATGGATATGAGATAATGCATGTTAGCACTTTACAAGCTTGTATAAATGCTAGGTGTTGTTATTGTTAGAATTACTATGATAATTGCACAGCGCTTTAAGGCTTACAATGCACTTTACATGCATTGTTTTGTTACATCCTCAGAACAACACTGCTATTCTTATCATTCCCATTTTACAGATGTGGAGAGTGACCCAGTAGAGGTGAAGTGACTTATAACAGTGTCTGAGTTAAGATTTGAACTCAGGTCTTCCTGACTCCATGTCCAGTTCTCTATCCACTGAGAGGAATCATGTCCACAGCTAGGGAGGTGATTATTTCTGTAATCTGTCCTGTTAGACCAAATCAAGAAAACTGGGTTCTGTTCTAGATGTTACATTTTAAGTAGGGCATTGGACAGCATTCAGAGGAAAGCAACCAGGATCAGGAAGGGCTCCTTAATTATTCCATAAAAAGATCAATTGAAAAAACTTGGAACACTTAGCCTGGAGAAAAGAAGACTCACATATTCAAAGGGCTGTACACTCTGAACACTGTAAATCTTTGAAATCCAGGCTTCACCAGGGCCCCCTGAGTAGGTCCTCTCATCCATCTGAGGACTAGCCTGCCTAGCTTCAGAGAAACCCATTGATTGAAGCTCATTGGGCGGTTAGGTGACTCTGTGGATAGAGTGCTGGGCCTGGAGCCAGGAAGACTTTTCTTTGTAAGTTCAAATCTGGCCTTAGACACTTACTGGCTGCGTGACCCTGGACAAGTCACTTAACCCGGTTTGCCTCAGTTCCTCATCTGTAAAATAAGCTGAAGAAGGAAATGACAAATCTCTCCAGTATCTCTGCTGAGAAAACCTCACATGGGGTCATGGGGAGCTGGACACAACTGAAAAACAACTGGACTAAAGGGCATGGGAGTTTAGGGGTCACAGTAACTCACAAGAGCCTTGCTCTACCAGGCCATGAACACGGCTTCTATATCAATGGAGGAGGGGGCCCCCATCAGATGAAATTAAAAGTCTTGACGTGTCAAATGGTTGGCATTCCTGATATCATCCCTGATTTCTGATATCACGAAGAGACTGTTAGACTGCTGTCCAGGCAGCAGCATTAGCACCAGCAGCAGCAGTAAGCAGCAGCACCTCATTCTGTGGCTCATTGGTTTACAAAGAGCTTTTCTCACAGTCACCCTGGGCAGTGGGCCATGCAAGTGTTATTATAAAACCCATCTTACAGATGAGGGAAGCGGGTTTCAGGGAGGGGGATTGGCTTGCCCGTCGTCACACAGCTGACAGGTGTCAGAGCCAGGATCTGACCTGGGGTCTCCAGAGAGTGACACCGTAGCATAGTTGGTGGACTGCATACCTGGGTTTTCTGAGGACCAGCTTAGCTAAGTGCAGAGAGCCTCAGAGTGGCACGAAATTTTTGGTCACAACTCATGAGGATGACATGTAAAGTGACGAGGGGTTGCAATCTGCATCAGTGGACCTGTGGGAAAACCCACAACAAGCAAGTTACAGCGGTGAAGTGATAACGTAATGATAATAATGTCCTCTTCCGTAGCGATCTTTGAGGCAAGCAGAGAATACTTTTAGGAATCTTCACTACCTTGTAGAAATGCCCAGGCATAGCCCAAAGGGTCTGGCAAACTTAAGCCCCTTTCCTCTCCTCTAGAAAGAGGGGCAGACTCCCTGAGCGAGACCCAAACCCTCCTTTTCCTGCAACCTCCTTGCCCCGCCAAAGCAGTAAGGATCTCTGCTGCAATCTCGGTGATTCCCCGGACCAAAACTTCCTTCCCTCACCACCACTCCCCGATATGTGTTACAGGCCCTACAGAATGTAAGCTCCTTAAGGACAGGCACCGTCTTTGTGTCGCTACTTCCTGGCGTCCTATATGCATTTAATAAATGCTTGCTAAAAAACTAAAGGTAGCAACATGAATGCTATGGAAGTGTTTTGCATGATTAAACATGTATAACCTGTATCGAGATGCTTGCCTTCTCAATGAGGGAGGGTGGGGAAGGAGGGAGGAAGGGAGAAAACTTGGAACCCAAAGTTCTAAAATCAAATGTTAAAAATTATTTTCACATGCAACTGGGAAATAAAATATATGGGCAACGGGGTATAGAAATCTATCCTGCACTACAGGAAAATAGAAGGGGAAGGGGATAAGAGAAGGGGAGTGATAGAAGGGAGGGCAGATTAGGGGAAGGGGCATTCGGAATGCGTGATGTCTTGAGGTGGGGGAGGGACGAAATGGGGAGAAAATTTGGAAACCGAAGTCAACAGAAAAAAATGCTTGTTGCTTGACTAGATGCAGTCTGGGCTCCCTTTTACCCCTATAGCCTACTGCTCTCTTGGGTCTAGATTCAGGGAGGCTTAATGGGGATGGGCCTTGGCCTTGATAACAAGCATGGGACAACTGGGGTTCTGGGGATAGCCAGCCACCTGGTCTTCCTGATGCATTTGCTGTTTCGGGGCAGCCTACCCTCAATGAGAGAACAGGAAGCAATGCTAATATTGGAGACAGGGATAGGAAATGGACCTGTGATTTCACTGATACAGGGAACTTCCGGGTGAGGAAATTTCCTTCACCAGCTCTGGTCGGCCCCCTTCTCTGCGACTTAGAATCCTCTTGGTTACTCCAGGCACTAGCAGTAAGTCAGGGTCAGGAAGCCTAAACTGGCTCCAGGGCCAAAGTTCTGTCTACTTTACAGCAGCTGCCCCTTATACTAATAAAAGAGAGATAACAGCTCACATTTCTGTGTATCTTTGGAAACGCCCTTTGCGCTGAGTTACCTTACTTGAGGAAGTGGGTGCTGGTTATTTTCCCCATTTTACAGATGAGGAAGCTCGGGCTCAGAGGAGCTCATTGATTTGGCCAGGTTCACACAACCAGTAAGTCTCAGAGGCAGGATTTAAACCTAGGTCTTTGTGCCTCCAGAAGGTTGGCTCCAAACCACGTGAACAACACATCAGACACTCACACAATCAGCTTGTGTTGAATACCTTTGTTGGACGAGGTAAAGGAGAGCTGAGCCCCGTTGGGGCAGGCACTGTTTTTGCCTTTGCTCAGTGCCTGGCTATACAGTAGGCACTTAATAAATACTTTTTGAGTTGACTTGACTCTTTGCTCTTTGAGACCTAACCCAAGCTCTTTGATTGTTGGGGAAAGAGTCCGTAGAGGGATACTGATGTGTTCAAGGTCATCCAGAAAATCAGTGGGAGATGTGGCCCTGCCTACCCCCTATACTGTGGGCAGCCCCCGTGGCAGAGTTTTCTGTGTCCCAGGAGGAGATAATGGCAAAGCGCCAAAGGGAAAGCATAGAACAATGGCGTTACCACCTTGTTCAACTTAATACGTCATTTTAAAAAAGCCCTACATTAACCCAAGTTCAAAACTCATCTCCCTGCTTTTTCTTCTTTACACATTGACTTTTGTTGATTGAATTCACAACAGAACATAAAGATGTCGCAGACCCATCCCACGGTGGAACAGAGGAAAAGAACTTGGGAGATAGAGCATTAAGACTCCAAGCCAACCTGAGAGCGGCAAAGGCTGGACTGGCCTTTGGAGGCCATCTGGCCCAACCCCCTCCTTTTAAAGAGGAGGAATCTGTGGGCCAGACAGGTGACTTGGCCAAGGTCACAGAGCTGGTAAACAGAGCCAGGATTTGAACCCAAGTCTATCTTGGTTTAGGGTCCAGTGCTCTTCCTCTGTACTTTCCATACTGTGGGTCCTGAGCAGACCTCATTTCCTGCCAGAGAGGTCTGGAAGATTCTCTGGGCTCTGGTTCAATCCTCTGCCCAATCCTTCAGCCAAGGGGGGTGAAGAGGATACAGTTTGTTCCTTGATTCTCAGACTGTCTGCAAGAAACTCCTCAATCTTGACCAATAAATCCTTCCTTTATTAAATAGAGATTTTGTTACATTTCATTTTTTAAAAATGAAACTAGAAGTGAGCCAGCAGGAGGTCTGTGTCCAGAATAGCCCCAGATCACAGGCCAGGAGAGAGAAGTCCCTTGGGGGGAAGGGTCCCTTCAGAGGATCACTAGAATATAGCCATTCCCTCCCTCCAGGGACTCATGACTCCCCACCCTAAAGCTGCCTGGCGGCCTGCCCACCCCTCACCACCATCCAGGCCCATCCCCTAAAGGGGAGGGCAGAGTCTCCCCTCACAGGCTGGTGCCAGGGACATGGGACAGGCTACATCCCTAGCCCTTCTGTATCTGAGGAAGCATCCATTATCCTAGAGGAAAGAGCTCTCAGCCCAGGTCCTGGGGAAAGGCACTCCAGAAGCAAGAAATGGGCCTCCCTCCCCCACCCTGCCTCCTCCCGGGTTGGCAGGGCCTCCTGAACAGACTGGGACAGGTGGGAAACCTCTCAGCTCAAGCTATATGGGACCAACTGCCCCTAGTGGGGTGTGTGTGATGGTGGGGGCAGGGAATTACAGGAATAGGAGACAGTACTGACGCTGGGAGATTATACAGGAAACGCATTTCATCTTCAGAACAGGTGGCCACCCTATCTCCCGGCGGGGGGGGGGGGGGGTTTGAGGGTAGGAGGCCCAGGGTGTGGGCCGGCTGGAGGCAGGGCCCCTGCAAGGGGCTTTTAGGGGAGGCTCAGTCCAACGAGGGGCCCGTTGGTGGGCCACTAGCCAACCTCTTCTGGCTCTCACAGCAAACCTCTCACTAGACTGCCCCCCAAGCCTTTCAGCTGACTTCAACTCATTCCCTGATGGATGCCAAGCTCCTTGAAACTTCTCAGGGGAAGGAGGTGTCCCATTTAAAGGTAAAACACTGGAGCCGGCTTATGGGAAAGGTCTTCTTCCCTTCCCCTCACCCCCACTCCAAGGGGCACACACACTCAGCTCGGCTTGGCCCTTCTGTGTCCGACAAGCCTGGCCAATGGTGTATCTGTAATTCCCAGCTTGGAATGATTGTCATTCAGGAAGCAGCAGACGGGGATGGCATTCCAATTTAGGACATGTCCCATGACAGCCAGGAAAGAGAAAAGCTTTCTGGGGGGGAGGGGCGATTATTAACCCTTGACTGGCAAGTCTTTCTGGCTGAGATCTGGGCTGCCCATAAAGCCCTATGAAGGTGTGATAGAGGTCACAAGGTTCACTAATGGGCAGAGGGGACACAAGACCCTCTTGTCTTAAAGGAAGAATCACCCCCTTGGGGGGGGAGGGGCGGCCGGCATTCCAAACACCACCAGGGGCTGGTTGTCTTCTGCCCGAGATTTCCACATGCCTTGGGGGCAGCCCTGAGGGGCAGGTCCCTGACACAAGGGATCCCAGGGTCGGCCAAGGGGATGAAGGCCTGGGGTAGGGGGTGGGTACTTCCCTCCCAGGCTGCGCTCCCCAACCGAGGGTGAAATGTTTGGAGAAGTTTCCCCAAGGGACAAATAAAGTTTTGGGATGAACAGGGCCAAGAAGCCTGGATCAGGGAACAGCTTCCCTGGCTGAAGGGACAGGAACACACCACAAGGGGGCACTGCTCCCCACTGGCCAGTAGACCAGAATGATACTTGCCAGTCCTGGTCATTGCCCAAAGTCACTACAGTGGGGGTGGGGTGGGGAGTGGAGAGGTGATGGGCAACTAAGAGGGGCCTTGATGTCCTGCTTTTTTTTGTGGGGGTGGGGTAGGGCAGGGCACAAGGTCCCTGGCTACTTTCCTGAGCTCAAACACAAGACCCTCTCTATCACTTTTTCCTTTGGTGGAGGAAGGCTGGTGGTGGAGGTGGGCCAGGGGCTGGACACCTCTTCTCTCTGGAAGACTAGAGATGCCCTCCACCCCAGCATCTCCCCACGGGCCACACAAGTCTGCAGCCTTTGTTCTTGTTGATCAGATTTTTTTTTTCTTCTTTTGGAAAATTCACTGCATCGGTTGGTGGAAGCGGCAGAGAGCCCGGTAACTGGCTCCTGGAAGAGCCTGGGCCTTGGAGGCCAAAATCCAGCCTGAAGGGATCCGCTCCTCTCTGCGCCCCCTCCTTCCTGCAGGGTTTTCTCCAGGGCCTCCTTGCTGGTGGCAGTCCTCTGTGGTGAAACCTTCAGAGGACAGAGACCCATCCATCATGTCCTTCTGCCTCAATCAGAGCAGCCCCCAGCCCAGCGGCCCTCTCCCACAACTGCGTGTCCATCTGTCTCCCTGGAGCTGTGACCTCAGCCTTGGCACTAAACCTCATTCGGGTAGAAGCCCAGCTTGGCCAGGGACATCTCCTTCCGGAGCCTCATTATCTCCCAGAAGATCAATTCCACTAGAAGACAGAAAGAAGAGCCCGAGTCAGGCTTTGACTAGGACAGCCCAAAGCACCTTCCCCAATTCTGTCCCCCCCCCAAAAAAATCTCTCCTTCCATTATGCTCAGAACAGATGTGACAGCTCAGAGACCTATAAAAGGCTAAGGCTTATTACTAAGTGGTTCCATCAGAGACCTGTGAGGGAGTGCAAAAAGTCTGTCCTATCCCCAGAGCACAGATGAGGAAACTGAGGCTCACAGAAAGGGAAGTCACTGACCCAGGGGCATTCTGAAAAACTAGTAAATATTAGGGTCATTTGATCAGTATCTCCAGGGACACAATTCAGATCAACATAGGGCTAGGACTGGGCTTGGAGACCCACCCACCAGCCACCCACCTCCCTTATAGATGGGGAAACTGTGACTCAAAGAGATTAAGAGCCAGTTCAAGTTGGGAGGCAGTCTGGCCCAATGGAATAAGCCCTGGCTCCGGAGTCAGAAGCCCTGGGTTCAAATCCTGCCTGTGGGGTTTCCAATCTGTGTGACCACTTCCCAGAGCCTTACTTTCTCTTCTGTAAAATGAAGCAGTTGGTCTCTGATGATCTCTCTACTTGTAGAGAGAGGATTCCATCAGAAGTAGGATTCAAACCCAGCTCTTCTGACTCTCAGACTAGCACTCATTCGACTACACCTGGCTGCCATGTTCTCTGAATGTCCATAGCAAAGTCTGACTAAGATTACTTTTCTGCTTACATATCATACTTCCTAATGGTCCCCCACCACTCTGTAGGATGTGAGCTCTTTGGAAGCAAGGGACTGTTTTGGCATCATGGATTAATCATTTTGGTATCATGGGATTCATGGTATCCCCAGCACCAAGCCCAGGATCGGGCATGTGTACATGTGTGTGTCCAGACCTGTGATTTCATCATTGTAAGGAATCCTGGTGTGGAAAGCTCCTCCTACCATGCAGACTGGCGTCTCGACTGGACTACAGACTGGAGTCTCGACTGGACCTTACAGTCTTAGAGACTACGGCCCTGAAAGGGTCACCTAGATGGCATATGTGTCCAAGATAGGGCTTGAATTTAATCCTTCCTGATATATCAAGGTTGACCATTTATTCACTTAACTATTCACTACATGTTAGGTCATTTGACCTGCTTCACTATCTTGCATTTAGTAACCACTTATGAAATATTTGCTGATTTTATTTGGGCCTCACTTCTCCAATCTGTAAAATGGGAGACCTGGACCAGATGGTTTCTCTGAGGTTCCATCAGATCTATTTGATGCTATGGTTTAAAATGATTTTTAATTTTTGTGTCCCCAGAACCTTTCTCACTAACCAATCTATAGCAAGCCCTTTCTAAATGCGCCGACTGAATTCTAGCCTCCTGCAGCAGCCAGCTTCGAGTGCCTACTGTGTGGGCCACTGGGGGAGTCATGCAGGCCACCGAAATATCCAAAGTGGTCCCTTGGCATCTTAGCTGGAGAGCTCCCCATCAAGTTGGAGAGATCAGCACCACCAGAACTACTTGGCCCTCAGGTCCCTGCTTTGGGGCTTATGGGACCAGAGAGGACTTGAAGGATGGGGAAGCCTGGAAGGGCCACTATGAGAGGGAAGGCCCTCCAGGAGAGGAGGGAAGCATTAGGAAAGGCCCAGAGATGGGAATCAGCCTAGCCCTGCTCAGAGGACAGTGAGGAATCTGGTTGGACTGGAGGGGAGGTTTCATGTGTGGGAGGAGAGAGAGTTTGGAGGGCCTCAAACACTAGACTCAGGAGCATAGGCATCCAGGAGACCCTGGGGCCACCTGAGTGGAAGTGGGACAAGATGATAAAATCTGTGTGCTAACAATGATTATATTAATTCTAATGATGACAGTAGCTGACATTTCTGTAGCACTTTAGGGCCTAAAAGCACTCATTTAATGCTCATGACAATCGTTAAAGTGAGTAATATTTCTTATTACCATTTTTTAAACCCAGCTTGCACTTTCCTTCACATAGGGAGCACCCCAAAAAGGACCTTCTCCTACCAATGCAGGTGGGTACCTTCCCTGCACTTCTGGCTTTTTAGAAGGTTTCCTGGGGGCACTGAGAAATTAAGGGACATGCCTGGGGTCACCCACATAGGACAGGTCAAAGGCAGAACTCTGAGGCTGGCTCTTGCTGCCTCTCTACCCCCATCTTACAGATGAGAAAACTGAGGCTCAGAGAGGCTAGTGATTAGCCCAGGATCACAGAGCTAGCATGGGTCAGAAGCGGGGTTTGAATTCAAGTCCTCTTCACTTCAAGGCCAGCTGTCTTTTTTCTATGTAACACTTAGCAGATTGGCCCAGTATTGTTTTATTTGTACAAATCTCATCTCCAAAACTTGTCAGACCCAGAAGGGCAGGGTCTGTACCAGATGGTCTGGCACAGAGCTGAGCTTGCAGGCCAGTTGACAGTGAGGAGCCAAGTTGGGGATCCCAGAGAGTGCCCCCAATTTCCCTTAGCCTCAGTTTCCTCCAAAGTAAAATGAGAGGTAGGTTAGATGATGTGCTGTCCAAGGTCTCTCCCTGCCCGGATGATTTTAATGTCTATAAGCAAGACTTATGGGTTTGGGTCTTGGTATGGTCCCCTATCAAGCTCCCATGCTCCCTGGGCCTTGGGGTCTGGTCTCCCAAATGGAAAGTATACTCTCTCTCCCTCCAGCTCCGCAGGATTGTAACTCTTTGCTGCCAGATCTTTTCCATAGCCACAGAGAAGACAGTCAGTGGGTTTTCTCCCTGTGTTCTCCCTCCTACCAGGGATGCCCTCCCTCTTTTCTCCTTCCCCCCTCACAGAATCCTTCAAAGCTTGTCTCGGCTGCCTCTCCTACAGGAGGTCTGGGCTGGTCACAGTTGACATGCTCTCCTTCTTAAAATGACTTTGTGTCCACGATGTAACCCTTTGCCTGCATCTATGTTTCCATCCTTTGGGGATAGGGAAAGCCACCTGAGAGAAGCCTGTAGTTGTCTTGGTCCGGGAAGTGGAATTCCCAGCACCAAGGACAGTGCCTGGCACAAAGGAAGGGTGTGCACAGCCTGGATCTGCGCCATCCCTGGGGGCACTCCCACTTAGGAAATGCCTTCCCCTAGGGCAGCAAGCAGAGCACAGTCTAAGGTGTGGGGGACTTGCCCGGGGTCAGTATAAACAGCAGGATTTCAACCCAAGCCTTCATGACCATTTACTCTTCCTCGCTGCCTTCAGAGTAGGCACTGAGTTAGCGAGTAGTACTGAATGTCTGCTGAATTCAACTGAACCTCCCAGAGAGGCAGGCAATGTACATGTTATTGCTTCTGTTTCACAGGTGAGCAAACTGAGGCTCTGAGAAGCTGACCTTATCTGCGTGGGGCATCACTGGTGAACAGAAAGATCATCAGGAATCAGGAGCCCCGATAGATGACCTCGGTCAAGTCACTTGGGGGCAGGGCAGGGCAATGGAAAGAACACCAGGTTTAGATTCACTGAACCTGGGTTCAAATCCTGGCTCTTCTATTGGCTACCTGTGTGACCTTGGACAAGTCACTTTTTCTCTGGGCTTTAGCATCCTCATCTGCAGTGGACTGGACGATGATGATGATGATGATGATGATGATGATGATGATGATGATGATAGGTAGCATTTATATAGCACCTACTATGTGCCAGCTACTCTGCTAAGCACTTTACAGATGGAATCTCATTTGATAAATAACTTAGACCACGCCTTAGGTCTTTTCCAGCACTAAATCTGAACCCCTCTCTGGGCCTCAGTTTCCTCATCTATAAAATAAAAGCACTGCCTGTCCCCTAAACTGGGAAGGTAGGGGGAGAAAGACTATGGTATTGACTGGACCCAAGGGCAGGACGCATGAGCTCAGCCTGCTGCGAGCTGGCCACCAGGGGGCAAGCCTGTCCACTCCCCAACCAGCCCCGCCTCTTACCGTCCTGCCGCACCAGGCCCTGCTGGATGTAGCGAATGTAGGTGAAAAAGTTACAGACAGCCGTGATCTGTAGGGAGGCAGAAGAGAGAGGGGATGCATGTGAGGGCGGGTCCCCTCAGGCTCTGGGAGACTCCCATCGTGGCAGAAAATGGTGACCCCATGGCAACCAGGGTCCCCTCCAGCCCTCTACCCACAGCTTTGGTTCTGCACAATAAAGACAATACATAGCTGCCATTTGCACACAGGCCTGGGCTGGCTCATCTCCACTGGCCAGGCCCTTGCCAGAGGCAGGCATTCCCAATGCCCACAGTCCCAATGACCCACAGTGAGGCAGCCATGGCCTATGATCCCAGGTCCTTTGTTCTGAGCAATAAAGACAATGCATAGCTGCCATTTGTATACAGACCTGGGCTGGCTCCATCCCCACTGACCAGGCCCTCCTCAGAGGTAGGCACCAGCTGCCTAGGGTCCCACTGACCCACAGGAGCCAGGAAAAGTGGCCTCCAGGCCTGGCTGTGACACTAACTTGCTTCGTGACCCTGGACAAGGATATCTCTGGGCCTCAATGTCCCCACCTGTGAAATCTAGATGGAGTCTACTCTCCCTTCTAGCTCAGACCTTCAGTGTTCTGACATTCTCTTTCTGGGCCCAGTGTCCTAAGCTGGGCCTTGAACAGCAGCCAACCAGGACGACAGCCCCGGGGCCCGGGTAGCCAGAGGACTCACCCTGGCCCTGCAGGACGGAGAGATGTAGTAATAATTCTCAGAATCTCCCAGCCTGATGCGGTGTCGGCAAGTCCGAGACAAGCCGCTGAGAGCGCACTTCCTGGGGGAGACAAGGCAGGGAGACGTCAGGGAGGGGTCGACTCTGGAGGAGAGGAAGAATGGGGGCGGGGCGGGAGAGGGAAGAGCCAATGGGGTGCGGGGGGGGGGGGGGGGGAAAGGCTGGCTGAGAGGTGCCTCCACCTGGGAGGCTCCGGCAAGGACTGCGGCCCCGTGGAAATCCATCGGCTAAGGCTTTGTCCATGCAAGTCCCTGCAGACCCCACAATTTGCTAACAGACTGGGGGAAAAGGGGAGGGGGGACCGGACATCACAAGTGAGGATGTTAGCTTTTACTAGGCTGAGAGAGAGAGTGCAGCAGAGCCCTGAGCCCTCAGGCCCGGCCTCTGACTCCTCTGCTCTCCTCTCTTCAGCGTGGAAACACCCACCCACACATGTAGGTACACAAACACATCAAAGAGGAAGGAAGGCTGTAAATCCGGTGAATCCAGGCGACAATATCTCAGCCTCCAGCCCGGGGAACATCCCCACTGTCTCCTCTTAGCCCAGGGCCTCCTACTCTGCCTTTCTTTCTATATAGCTGGGTAGATAGGCAGACAGACAGACAGGCAGACACACACACACACACACACACACACACACACACACACACACACACA